AATGAAAATGTAGATGGGAAGTTCTTTCAAGAAGGCAATCTTTGATGAACATGTACAAGTAGGGCTGGTTGGGTGGGCCCAGAAGGTGAAGAAAAGGAAGGGACTGAGAGCAGCTGCTGATAACTCCAGCCAAGGAACCAAAGAAGGAGGTTCCACTGTGGGGATTCAGCTGGGAAATGTTATGCGCAAGGCTTCTGCACCAGAAGAAATTAAGCCTGATGATGCCTCCAAATGATCTGCCTTATCGGAGATTTTAAGCTAATGTAGCTCATTTGTACTTTGTAGAGTTGTATTATACGGTAACCGCTACACTTACCCGTTCGGTAGGAGAATGAGTGATATAGCTGAAAAACATCGAGACGTTTCGATATACTGTAAAATTTAACGGTGGAGCAATCCCATCTCTGAGTTCTATCACGTCTCACTTTGATAATTTATATAGGCTTTTGTATTTGTGATGTGTGTTGAGTATCAAACATGTATCATATTAGAAGTTGTGTACTCTTGGTCCATAAGCTTGATGTGATGTTTGCTCATTGACGTGCTCAATTCTCATTGGTTTGTTATTTGAATTTTGAAGTGGTTTTTTACGACACTACAAAATTACTAAAATAATAAAGTAGAAATTTAAGACTCAATTACGAAATTACTAAAATAATAAAATTGAAAGTTTTAGGCATTAGAGATGTGGGAATGAAGGATAAAAACTCCAACCTCTCAGTAAAACACAAAATGCCTTTAACTATTAAACTAAGTTAGGCTCGTGTTTGCTTTAGTATTCAACTGAAGTTGTCTTGTTCTAATAAAATATCTAGCTCATCAAATCTCTTCGAATAATTTTTTTTCCAATTGTTCATTTTTCATTAAAGGAAAAGGAAGAAGCAAATAAAGCTGTGGAGACGGCAGACTCGCCAATTAGGCACACCGTGAGGTTGACTACAGCAGATCGAGAGCGAGAGGGACTGCTACGAAAGCTGGTCAGCCTAAGCAATAAGTAAAGGAAAGGCCTTGTTCCAGGGCACATAGGATTAAACGTAAAGCTGCGCTTTCTTGACGGATTTTTATACTTGACGACCATCCAAGGTTTCATGAGTGCTCCTATTCTGTTAGTTATGACTCGGAGACTCTGTTAAACAAATTAAATGAGATTGAATAGGTTCGAAGAATTATAATTTGAGTTCATATGTTAACTTAGTTTCAATCATGGTTTTAAATATCTAGACACGTCGACATTTCCATCGAGATATCCATGTTTTCATGAGTTCGACGACATTAGGGGTAAATCAACATTTCCATCATTGTACAAGAAAATCGACAAAATAAAAAATATCAACAAAATGTCAATTATATATATATATATATATTAATTATTTTTAACTAATTTAGAAATAGGAAAATGTTTATTTGTTAATTTAAATATTTTATACTATTCTTTTAATTTTTCTAATTTATACAGAAATACAAAACACCATCAACATTTTATCGATATTTACATCGATGAGGCCTCGAAAGTTGCAGCCACACCGATATTTAAAACCTAGGTTTCAATCATTTGATTGGTATTTAATAGGCTGGTTCAATCTACTGGAATTTGATTTTGGTTTTGATTTTTTTGTTGCTGTTGTTGCTTTAATTACTGAGTCTACTGGTCCAATCTTCCAACAAATCAGGAGATTGACCTGGAACTGGACCATATTTTATGGATCTCTTTGAGCTTGGAATTTGATCGATGGAGCGGTAGTCGTAAGGATTTATGTTGCCCGTCTGTCCGTTGTTCATGCAACTGAGAACCATAATCAATTCATAGAAATAATCTCAAGAACTTGTTCGTTCGACTTTAGATGACGGTGGTTCGGAGTCATATCTGCAATTGCAATCAACAAAGCAATAGGTAAATTACCCATATCTATATATATACACACACAATATGCACAAGAATTTGTAATGACAGCACAATGTGTTTCAGACGAGAGAGAATCGCTGGTGTCTTCTCTTCTTCTTCATCTTCTTCTTCTTCTTTGATTTCTGATAATCCGCCGAGTGAAGTGAAGACTGAAATCGGAGAGCAGAGATGGCCGGCGGTGGCGGAGAAGGGACGTCGCTGGAGTACACGCCGACGTGGGTGGTCGCCGCCGTCTGCTCCGTCATCGTTGCCATTTCTCTGGCCATGGAGCGCCTCCTCCACTTCCTCGGCAATTACCTCAAGAGGAAGAATCAGAAGCCGCTCAATGAAGCTCTACAGAAAGTAAAAGAAGGTTCGACTTGAATTCGAATCCGAAATCCGAATCCAATTTCTTTTCGGTTCCGAATGTTGATTGTTTCCCTTTTTCGGAATCTTGCAGAATTGATGCTTTTAGGGTTTATTTCGCTTATGCTCACTGTATTTCAAGACGTCATTTCTAAACTGTGCGTTCCTGAGAGTTTGACTCAGAATTTTCTCCCATGTGATCTGAAAGATAAACCAGCTAAAGGACATGATTCATCCTCTGATGAAACTGGTTCGTCAACGACAGAGCATTTTCAGACCTTCGTCGTTTCGAGTATTTCTGGAATGGCTAGGCGGCTTCTTGCGGAGGACGAGGAACCGGCTACACAGGCTGGTTACTGTGCCCACAAGGTGAAGACTAATCCTAACCATCTCAATTATGCCGCCATTGATGATGCTCTTTAATGCTTCGTTGGTGTTTGATTCTGCTCATTGCTTCCTGTTCTCTGCATTTTGAATGTCCAGTTCTCTTATCTTTTCAATGTGGATTCCCACGCCTCTCTCTCGAAATGGTGATTCGTTTAGATTCTCGGCTGAATTTCATTTTTAGATTGGAGGTTTGTTTGAATTTGTTGGGCTTTGATACTATATCAATAATCACGATACTCTCGCTTGAAACCAAGGAATTACTCTCGTGACTTTACTCTTGGTTTCGTCTAAAAGACCTCGAACTAGTGGAAGATTGAGAAATATTAGAAATATGGGCTATGGGCTACTCTTTTCACGGTCAGTTAATTTTGAGGTCGGATTCCATGAATATTGATAGATAATAGAATATAAGTGTCTTTGGATATAGCGGAGTAAAATTCCGATTCCGCAGAGATTTGAAATAGGAAATGAAATTGATAATATTCTTTTTATTTCTCGGTAAACTTGTCTCATTCTCATATGATTCTTGACTTTGTCTTTTCCATATGATTCCTAACTTGTGTGCCCCACCAAATTAGAAATGA